ACCTAAATAGCCCTTAAATGATATAACTACTGCTGACCTCCTCTCATACTACTCTTCCCCTTTATACCAAGGCCAATTTTTTTTTTTTTAAGAGAGGGTCTCGCTCTTGCTCAGGCTGGTCTCGAACTCCTGAGCTCAAACAATCTGCCCGCCTTGGCCTCCCAGAGAGCTAGGATTACAGGCGTTAGCCACCACGCCCGGCCTAATTTTTTAAAAAATATTTTTGGTACAGACAGGGTCTTGTTATGCTGCCCAGGCTGGTCTCAAACTCCTGGCCTCCAGTGATCCTTCCTTCTCGGACTCCCAAAGTGCTGGGATTACAGGCATGAGCCACTATGTCCAGTCCATAAATGATGTTTTTAAAGAGTGCCAGACATAATATTAAGCATTCAATAAATGTTAACTACTTTATTATCATGCATAATATAATTGAACTTAAAGTCTTCTAAGTGTGTCTTTAATTCCAAATGTATGTCCTGTCTCCATTTTTCCCTGTGTAATGTCTGCTGCTATTAAAACCCAAATCTAGATTTAGGATTCCATTCCTGTTTTTAATTATTTAGCTCTTGGATAATTCCTCTCTGTCTCATTCCCCTTAAGGACTAAATTCTTAGATAATTCAATGCATTATCAATTTCTTCCTCTCTAATGGACCATCCTGATCAGCATATAAACATAATCTAGTATCTCCTTTAAAAAATCCTCTCTAGATGGCCAGGCACGGTGGCTCACTCCTGTAATCCTAGCACTCTGGGAGCCCGAGGCGGGCAGATTGTTTCAGCTCAGGAGTTCGAAACATAACTAAAATCTGTTAATGAAATCATTTTAATGGCACTGACCAAATATCTTTCAAGATTAATATACAATAAATTTTATCATTTTAAATGTTTAAAAGTAAACATTATGTTTCATTAAAAAAATTATGAAATGTACCCAGTAAACAAAATGTAACTTTTATAACTTTGTTTTGAAAGTAGCACCTTTCTAAATCAAAGTTGGATCACATGCAGAAAAGATGCTATCCTGTTCCTTATAATAGTAGTTATGTTTTTATAAATACACTAGAAATTCACATTTATTTTATTTTTATTTTAATTTGCTTTGCTAGTTCTTGTTTTAGATAGAAATTCCCATTTAAAAAGATGTATTTTATCTTCACTATACCTTATGTGAATATAGACAATATTTCCATGTCGATCCACATTGATTTTTCCAGGAATACAAGGAATTCTTCTTTCTGTTTCTTTCGTTAAAAGTTTCTTACACAAACAGCATCTATAACATAAAGAAGACAAAAAAAAATCCAAGAAGAAAATTTTGAATGTAGTAAATTAAAGAATACAGCTGCATTATAAAGTATACCAAAGGAAAAACACATTACCGTACCTATACAATGTTGCTGCATTACTCCGAGAATCTGGATTCAAGTACTCAGGATCAAACAGTCTTTCAATCTTCTTACAAAAAAGTTTACTATTAACAACAAATGACCAAAATATTAATTTTCTGTGTTTATTTTACTAAAATCACTTTATAGTTTTATTTTAAAGTAATAAAAATAAACAGACCTATCTGTGTATGTGTAAAATAAGATTAGTAAAACCTTAGAGAGGCTCTCTTTGGAAGTTTATAATTTTTTTTTTTTGAGACAGAGTCTCATTCTGTGGCCCCAGCTAGAATGCAGTGGCTTTATCATAGTTCACAGCAACCTCACATTCCTGGCTCAAGTGATTCTCCTGCCTCAGCCTCCTGAGTAGCTGGGACTACAGGCGTGCGCCACCATACCTGGCTAATTTTTCTATTTTTTGGAGAGATGGGGTCTTACTCTTGCTCAGGCTGGTCTCCAATTCCTGGCAATCCTCCTGCCTCAGCCTCCCAAAGTGCTAGGATTACAGGCATGAGCCATCGTGCCCAGCCTTACAACACGTTTTTGACGTTCTAAGTAAACAAACCTACAAATGAGAACTGCTTGATCAAGAATCTATTTTCACAAGAAAAATAAGATTGATGGATATCTACCTTTCTTTCAGTCCTTTGTTACTGTAATATTCAACATTAAAGATTTTGAGAATTTAACAATCCAGGACCACCAATAACTACGTATATGATCTTTAGCAACTTAACCTTTCTGAACCTTGTTTTCTCATCTATAAAATGTGATTGATAATTTCAACCTCATAAGGTTTTATGAAACTTAAATGATGCTTCCATTTTTTAAATTTTTATTTTATTTATTTATCTTTTGAGAGAGGGTCTCAATCTATCACCCAAATTGGAGTGCAGTGGCACAATCATAGCTCACTGCAGCCTCAAACTCCTGGGCTCAAGTGATCCTCCCACTTCAGCCTGCCAAGTAGCTAGGATTACAGGCACACATCAAT